ATATATATATATGACCTTACTTCTTATTCCTGCAAATAAATCTACAACAATCTTAGAAAATTTTGAGTCAGTAATTTGGTTACATGATATACGTATAGTGTTAATGAGTTAAGTATAATGTTTCCTGAGTTGCAAAATAATTGATAGAATATTCAGGAAGAACATTATCTTTTGACTAGATTTTCAACAAGAACAAAAATCTATACAGAATCCTCGCTTCCAATTTTTACATCATAGGAGTGATACTCGTTAGGTAGTTAAAGTGGTTTATCAGGTCTAAACTAATCTTTAGGTGTGATGTGTCTTTGAAAACAAATGAGGAATTTTCCTCTTTTTCATATTTTAAATATGAAAATAATTTTCTCAAATTAGCTGTTTATCACACAAACAAAATGAAAACAGTCTGCATTTCTTAAATATCATACAATTTCTCCCCAAAATACTACTAGGCAGTAAACTGAATATATTGAAATCAGGTCAGAGAAGCTCCCAAATATAACCCCAAGGACATTCAGCAAGGAGAAGGTTAAGTAGATTTAAAAGCCCCCCACATTTTCCTGTTAGATGATTTCAGATTCAATAATATTACTGATAACTTCTAAGACATTCCTAAATAGTTTTTAAGCTTTAAAAGATCTTCTATGGTATTTAATAAATGAGTATAGTTGTGCCTTCCATCCCACATTTAAAAGAAACGGAAATGAACAAGTTAAAAAGCATTTTCCTAACCCTGACTGTAAGTCACAAGCTTGATGCTGCCTGGAGCCAGCTGGCATGAGGCCCATTTACAGTAGGCTAGTTACTCCCTGCTACCAATCATCACAGAGAAAGAATACTTACAGGCACAGTCTGAATGCTTTCCAAAATAGACTAACATAGAAAAAGGAGCTTTATTAAACTTTGTAGGTATTATTTTGAAAACTCCAAAATCTTTGAATCCACCTTTTATAACCCAGAATTTAAAGGTGATCCTCAAGAACAACTTAAAAATGAGCTCAACAGGAGAATGGTTATGTTTTCTACACTTTAAGTCAATTTTAACTATAATTTTTGATGAGCATAACATCTACCTTAAAATAGATTTTAACTTTAAATAATTTAATTGAAATTGTTCTTAATAGTACTTAGCATAAACACAACAGTAAGAAACCTAAAAGCAGAATAAGTAGAAAACAGAAAAGCTCTGATTATCAAAAAGAAGTAGGTAAGAAAAACAACTGAGTGCCTTGGGTCTACGCCCAGGAGCTACAGTGATTGGTGTTAAGCCCTTGGAGAGCCTTTTTCATCCCTCATTGTCTAGTTTAATTCAGGGGTAAACAGATAATAAAACCCTTTATGACTTTGAGCCATATGTATGCAGTGAAAAGGTGAGGAACTACAGAAATGATGGACACCATGATAGTGTTCTGTAGGAAAGGGAAGACGCTTCTGAAACTTGAGGCACCCACAGCTTCCTAATGCAAGACAGGCAGAAAGCAGTACCCTGTAGTATTTAACTTTTCCAGCTTCTTCCATATTTATTTTTTCCAGTAGATTTTAGGAACTTGCACACCTCTTACTGTACTATAAACAAACCATTTCATTATATCTCTGTTGTCATACATATACAGTTATATTTAATAACCAAGTTCAAATGGCAAGGCAAATTTACTTTACCAGCAACACAAGGCTGTTGAGTTTTAATTTTTGAGCCCCTCAGAGCCAGTGGGGATCTAGGCTGCCCTGCCCTGCCCTGCCCTGTCCTGCCCTGCCCTTCCCTGCCCTGAGCACGTTTCTTTGTGAATTCTCTTCAGCGATGTGGTAGTTCAGGCTCTGCAGTATTTGGATCAGTGTTTCTTTTTCTGCTTTTACTTTTGTGTTCTTTTTACGCATGATTTGTTTCTTTCAAATAGAGATCACATAAGAATGTGGTCTGCTTCTTACTAAATTATAGTTAACTATTTTCTGTTGTTTCTGAAAAAGGTTATAGCTAATGTTGCATTTAGGTTAAATTTTCATCCTTCCTTCCCCCATTCCTTTTCTCTCTCCTTCATTTTCTGTTTCCCTTACCACTCCTGACCCCAGGAAGGACTCCAAAACTGTACATACTAGGCAAGCCTGCACTCTACCACTGAAATAGATCCCTAGCCCAGTCCTTTCAAGAGCTTAAAAATAAACACACACCTAAAGTGCTGGGATCAAATGTAACTCACGACTCATGGGTTATTTCTAAATTGTCACTATGGTATAAAATTTAAATTAGACTTTGATCAGTTTCCAAGAGTTAGTAATTGGCTAGGTACAATATTTATGATGCAGAAAAATGCTATAAGTTATAAACAAGATGGAAAAATTAGTTCCATAGCAGGACTGTAGAGGTGCTCAGTGGTGAGAAGCACTGAATGCTCTTCCAGAGGACTTGGGTTTGAGCCCCAGCATTCCTATAACAGCTCTCAACTGTCTATAACTCTGGTTCTGGAGGATCCAATGCTCACTTCTGGCCTCCTCAGATACCAAGCATGCAAGTGGTACACAGGCACACATGCAGGCAAAATATCCAAACACATTAAAAAATAAAATTAAAAATACTACTACAACAGCAGAGGTGCTTACTCAGATTCAAAGAACTACAGGAGCATCTATTATTCATTAAATGAGCTGGAAGTTTTCTATCTATAATGTATTATTAGTGTATTTGCTACAGGAAAGCAAGGTGATTTATGGACACAAATGTTACATACTTGAATTTGCACAAAGGAAACTGAAATTTGACTCAGTAAATATAATAAGTATAGCAGTAATTCTACTTCTTTACACACTTTTAGCTTCTACTTTTCAGTTTTACAAAATAAAAAAAAGTCACTTTGGTAGCTGAATGAAAGGATATACCTTCTATGAGATTGAGGATCACAGCATGAAAAGCTAAAACTGGATAAATTTGAAAGGTAAGTATTTTATTCAATAAGTGCAAAATTCTAAACAATTTTAGAAGAGTTCTATAATCCTGAGATTTAACTGAATTATCGAAAGGCAACTTAACCCCATCTCCTAAACTACAAACAGGGATGCCGTGCCCCCATTCTCCTCTCACCACCCACAGCCTTCCTTTTATAGTTTTGCAGAATACCACCTCAAAAATAGCATTCCTAACACTCAACAGAGCCGAAAATGCTGTGCCGGTATCTTAGTTATCTTTACTGGAAAAATACATACTTTCACAGCTCCATTACAATGTAACCTTCTCTTGTAAGTAGTGTAGTGACCAGAAGTCTCTAAGACATTCTTAGGCCCTCTCATCTTCTCCAGGTCCCTAGCTTCTGTGACAGTTAAGAATCAAAACTGACTCTGAAACCTTGGTTAATGGCTGACTAAAAACCTCAAAACCTGTAACAGAAACCAGCAGATGCTGTGTTGACCAAACATCTGACCAAGCAAAATGAGCAGAGCTGTCCTCTGCAAACAGCTGAGCTGTCTCCTTGTTGAGGGTACTTGTGTTCATGCACCATACTGAGAGGTGCTTCTGTGTCTCCTGCTAGCAGCACCACCAGTCCCATTTATCACTTCAGGGGAAGAAATGCTTACACATTTATGTTTTGTCCTGTCTTTTCATTAATCCTCTCAAACTTTTGTTGACATTTACAAACTTTTTCAAAAACTTTATTTTATGTATATGGATGTTTTGCTTGCATGTTTGTGTGTGTATGCCTGGTAGCCACATGAGTGCCTGGTACCCACAAAGTCCAGAAGAGTGTGTCAGGACCACTGGAACTAGAATTACAGATGGTTGTGAGCTGCCATGTGAGTGCTGGAAATTGAACCTTCTTGAAGAGCATCCAGTGCTCTTAACCACGGAGCCATTTTCCAGCCCTGGCTGACTCTTTTAATAGATATTTAAAAACACTTGCATTATACAAATTCTCTTTACCAGAGATTCCTGTCCCCCACCCCCTTAATCCTATCTAGTGAAACTCCTAATAGTTTCATTAGTAGACAGGTCAGAAGAGGACAGACATCATCTACCTTAGAGGTGAGTGCTGTAACACTATATAAAGCAAGTTCTGCTTTTTTTTTAGCATACAAAAATCTATACCACTTTTTAAACTAAAGTAACAGCCCAATTTAAAGAAACAAAGCAAAATGATATTTATAGTTGAAAATATAGGAATAAATTTAACTAATGAAGTTAAAATGTATCTACTGGAAACTATAAATCATTGAACAAGAAATGAAAGAGACAATGCAAAGACTGAATATGTTCATAGATGGGGCATAATCAATAAAGATTTAGGGCAGTCGATCAAAGTTCCAATTGTGGTAGCCATTGAAGAAGACAATAACCTCAAATTTCATGCAGAGAAAAAAATGCACACCTAAATCAATACTAGAAACTAAGTTAGAAGCTTCCTGGTTGAATACTACACAGACACAGTTAAAACAATACTGCTCTGAGCTAAAAACAGAAGTACACTGACAAAATAGAATGGTGAGCCTAGAAAGAAATGGACTTTTGACAATGGCAACAAAAAGATACAAACAAGATCTGGGAACACCTGTTTTCTACATGTGGGGGAAAAGGAATTTTAGATGAATCTTTACATGATGCATAAAAGTCAACTTAAAATAGGACAAAAGTCCATGATCACAAACTATAAACTCATAAAACATATAGAGGTAAAAGTCCTTGACATTGGTCTTTGTAGTTATTGCTTGAATACACCATCAAATGTTCATATTACAAACGCAACAGTACATAAGTGTAACTCCATTAAACTTAAGTTTATTCATCACATAGGGGAAAATAAAAGGCAGCCCATAGAGTATTTGCAAATCACATATATGATGATAGCATAACCGTTATAAAATCCAAACCAGCATAGTCCCTAACAATGTATGTATTTGTCCTTCTACTCATAGATAAGTGTTGTCTTTACCCCTAATCAAGGACACTTCTCTCTGCAACAGACAGAAACCACTGCAGAAAACCTCAACTAATTAAAATGCAGAGTTACATAGCCTAGTCAGAAGGAATACATCTACAGAACACTCCTGCACATAAGGCTCAGGGAACATTGTGGAAAAGGGGGCTACAGGACTGTATGAGCCAGAGGATCACAGGGTTTTCTATGGGATTGTGTCTCCTAGTAACATCAGAAACTACACACATGAAGTTTCATCAACACGACCATCTGAACATGAGCTGAACAAAGACTGTACCATCAACCATGCTGAAAGAGAAAAGACAGAGAAAAGCCCATGAAGCTTCAACCCTACAAAGTATCTGCAACTGAGTAAAGCTAGGAATGGTAGAGGTAGCCTTCCTCGGGAAAAGCACTCAAAATGGTTGTACAGTGCCATTGAACAGATTATATTTAGGAAAGAAGTATGTATATGCATGTATGCATGCAATAACAATCAAAGAAAAAAAAGGCCACGAATTCAAGGACAGTGGGAGAGGTTTGGAGGAAAGAAAGGGAAGGGAGAAATGTAATTATCATCTTAAAAAGGAAATCCTGACAACTCAATAGTAGAACAAACAACCCAGTTCCAACAATGAGCAAAGACTAAATAAACCCCCTCCCCCATAAAGGACATAATTCTCTTGAGAAGCAGAGACTGCAGAGTTTAAATCAGCCTGTGCTATGGAGTGATAGCTAGTCTCAAAACTGAGGTGGAAGGGAGAAGAGAAGAGAAAAGACAGAAAAAGAGAACAGGACAAAACAGACTAAGAGACATTACCTTCACCTAAAGATGGATGCTATAAACAGGAGACAGGCAGATATCAGTAACCATGTAGAGGAAAAGCTCTCTCAGCAGGCCAGGGTGTAGGCTGCCACAGCCACATGGAAATCAGTACGGAGGATTCTAATGCTACAAACAGAACTTCTGCAAAACCCAGCAATAATTTCTGGGTGATGGAATTAACCCCCTGTAGAGGAACATGGTCTACACTGTCATGTTCCCTGCAGCATCACGCAGACAAGATGTGAAAACAGCCCAAGTGTCCATCAACTGATAAGTGGATAAAGAAAATTTACTACATGCTCCCAGACAACCATTCAGCCACACAAAAAAGAGGATGTTGATGGTTATATCATGGGTGGACCAAGAAGACATTATACTAAATAAAATCAACAGATGCAGAAATTAAAACATCACATGATGACAAGAAAGAGGTTTCAAATATCTACAAGGGAGTAAGGGCAATGGAGGGGTGGCCAAAGGATGCAAAATAATGCACAGAACGAACAAGTGTATGCAGTACATGTGTACATGAGTCTTTACCAAGATTTTATTAGATTTTGCTTAACGCAGATTTTATTGCCATTGTGACATACAATGTTATGTAAGATGGAAGATAGTAACCATTTTATTTTTTATGAGTATTGTTAACACTGTGTTTGTTATAAACCTCAAATACACACAATAAACTCTATTTTGAATAAACATGATAGTCTCCAACTTCTGTTTTGGTTTTCAGGATTAAACTAAGTGCCTTATCCATGCTAAGTAAGCATTCTACTAATGATTAAGCCCTTAATGCTTTAATTTTTTAAGAAGCAGTAGGCCAGGCTGTCCCTGAATTTTCTCTATAGCCCAGGCATGTTTTAAATTTATGAATTTCCTGTTTGAAGCCACAAGGCCAGACTTAAGTCTCAAACTTTCTGCTTCTTTTGCTGACCAGTTCACTAAAATTAAGCCTAACCTAAAATTTTTATTGCCACATTGAGTAAGACTTTTAATAAGACAATAAGAAGTATTTTTAATCACCTAGATGTCAAAATGGTTCCTAGAATACTTAGTGAAAGCTGAACAATCCACCTATGCATGCTCCAAGGTTCTCTGGTAGTTCTTTAAGGACTCTCCATAGCTAACCAGCAGTCAGCAGTATCTGTTAAGTGAGATAACAGAAACACATGGCCTGTAGCCATTAGTCTTCACCACAGGCTGAAAGCCACTGTTGTAGGGGACCTGAAAATGTTCATCCTGAACTCTACTGAATCAGAAACAAAGAAAATACCATTAGTCTAAAGTGACATGACCTACACGGGGAACAGGGGTGAAGTAGGGTTGAAAGGCAATTCTGGATGGACACTTTGTTGGGCAGTGAACAGACTATTGTACTTTAAACTCAGAAGTGTCTTAGATCTATTTTCCTAAGTGCAGACTTTTTCTTTGTTGACTGCAGGACTAATCTAATTTTTGTCACTGAAGGGAATATCACCATGAAGACAGCATAGGGGGCAGCTCTTGTGATGACACCACAGCTAAACACCTTTACATCTTAAAAGAGTCACAAACTGGAAGCTTTCTACAACTTATTTTCTAGAAAATGAAAAATCTTGATTTAGTTCCAAAGAAATTCTCAACTCCTAAACAACACATTTTTATAATCTTTTGTGGCTGGTGGAGAATGCTCCTTTTTCTAACACAGATTTACAGAATTCCTTCTTATACTTTGTTTAGATATAATAATATTCAATGATAAATTTCTACATTTCATAGATTTTCACCCTTTATAGTAAACAAACAGTTCACTGAAAATACAGAAACTCTTGCTTTTTAGAGCAACACTGACACTCTCACTATGTTGCTGAGGTTGTGCTATCTCCCCCAGGCCTCTGATCCTCTTATTTCAGCCTCCCAAGTCACTGGGAGTAACCTGTGCTACTTTGCCTGCACAGAAACTTCTCATCTTGTCCTTGGTCTGAGGACTTAACATTTTAAATCTTCCTTAAAACAAACAAGCAAACAACAACAACAAGACTCTCTGAGCTATGGTTCCTACAGTTCTTCAGAGCAGTCTGGAAAGTGCTACAGAGCAACTGCTCAAATATCACCACAGAAAATGATAGCGCTGCTATTAAAATGATGTGTGTCAGCTACCATAAGAAACTTCCAGATGTTCTGTGCAAAAAAATATATTAGAAAGGCCACTGTGATAGTTGTTAATCTTCTTTGTGCCAATTTGATTACGTTTAGAAATCATCTTAGAGCCTACTTCTTGGGCATGTGTGAGAGGGCATTTCCAGAAGTTTAACTGAGGTGGGAAGGCCAAATGTCAGGATCCTCCCCTGGGTATGGATCCCAGGTAGATACAGAGTCTGAGCTGAGCCCTAACACTCATTTCTCCTCTCTGTCGGAACACATTCGCCAGCCACCCCATGTTCTGACCACTATACATTCCAGGCCATGATGAACCTTTCCATTTTTAAAGTGCCTTTGTCAGGTATTTGGTCACAATACCTAGAAAAATTAATAGAGTAAACTGGTACCAAGAAATGGCACTATTGTGATATCCTGACTGCATGGAAATGGCTCATGAGATAAATGTGGGAGAGTGTGGAGCTTTAGCCAGGAAAGGCCATGGAATGCTGTAAACGGATTCTGATGGAAGGTCAGAAGAACAGGATGCCCAGAGAGATGGACAGCAGAGGTCATTTAGGTTTCAGGGGGAACATGGACTCTGGGCAAGTGGGTACAGATCATTCATGTTACCTTCTGGGAAAGAATCTAGCTGTATCCTGCCAGTATCCTGAGCACTGGAGGTAAGATTTTAAAATAATGGGTAATTTGTTTGATAAAAAAGATTTTGAAACAGCATAGCACTCAGGCCATGACATGGTCACTATTCATTGTTCTTTTTCAAATCTATAGTGGGAGCAAGCAGAAGTTGTTTTCTGTTTTTGTCTTTTTTTTTTTTTTTAAATATGCAGTTTGGTGAGGAAAGGCTTGTGAGTGATTTAAAGTTGCAGACAAGGCAGGTGCAAAAGCAACTGTTAAAAAGTTGAGCTGTTACAAAGTTTAGCAGAATTAAAGAGAACCCTCCACCTTTGCACTGGGATAATAAGAAAGGTGTCAGAAGACAACCCCGTGGAATATGTCCACTTCCTCTGCCTCCACTCAAGATCTGCAAATGGAACTCAGGTCACTGTCAGGCATGAGGGCAAGCACTCCTACCTGCTGAAGCAGCCCACTGGATCCTGATGTCTTAAGAATCAGTAAGTTTGTGGTCCCATCCTCTAAGTTCATCAGTAGCCATTAAAATATCCCTATTTTACTGCCATTGGAGGGCAGGAGAATAGGCCACAGTCACAAAGAATTGTAATTATTTGTTTTGATCTACCTGGTAGTTCTATGAAAGATCCCTTCAAAAGGACTATCTTTATTTTGCTTACCATAAAACTGGCTTGGTGTAGAGAGCTATACTTTAATAGGAGAGCTATTGAAGACATCTATTGAAGTGTCTTAGTTTGTGCACCCCGAGGTGACAGGTACAGCTGCAAGGAATAGTAAATAAACTAGCTAAAGCCCTTGGAAAGAAAAGCTGCAGAGTATGGCTTTAGAAAGAATGGACATATTCCTAGAGATCTAGAAGGCTGTAAACAGGAGGAGAGCTGTGTTACACAGCCAGAAAGGCCTGCATAGGCCCTAGGCTATGGATGCCTGTTGACCTTAAGAACCCAAAGCCCTCAAAGTGGGGCAAAGAAGAACGTGTTGCTTTCTACAACCTAGGACCCCTTGGCAGACTGGAAGCTATTTTGTTCCTAGGCATTTAATGCAATTTCTGTACAACTATTAGGTGAACACCAAGTAAGGGAGGGGTCAGGATACTTACAGTACATGAATATAAGCTTTATAGAGGAACTGAGAACAGATACTAAACATTGTCTGTAATGCTTAGCAACAGCTAATGCCAGGGAGGGAGGAGAGAGCCAACTGTCAACTACACTACAAGCAGAGTGGCCCTTATCAGGTTTCCTGGGTCTAGAAGCATTTCATATTTCAGTTTTTCAAAACTGTGAAATATGTATATAGCTATACTGGCTCATAACCTCTAAAACAGAAACATGAAATCTGAAGTACTTCAAAATCCAAACTATCATGTTAACACTCAAAACATTTAGATTTTGGATTTCAGTTTAGGGATGAATCCATATTAAAATGTCTCAGTTCAACAACAATAAAAATAGAAGATGTAAAAAAACAAGGATAGACAATGAACAGGAGAAAAGAAATCAACAGAGAAATACTGCTTTGGAAAGCTTATGCACTACAGATAAACACAATGGCATAAAGAAAACCATGTCTAAAGAATTGAAATATAAAATTGCTATCTCCTTATATTGAAAATATTAATACAGAGGTAGAAGAGATAAAATAGAACCAAATAGAAATGTTAAAGCAGGGAAGTATTAGAACCAACCGTGTTCACTAAAATGCCCAA